GGCCGGCAGGTCTGCCGTCGGCACGAGCTCTACGTCAGCTTCCAGGACCTTGGCTGGCTGGTAAGTGCTGACTCTGGTCCTTGTTTCTGAAATGACAATCGCCACCTGTGGAGCAGAAGGGAATCTGCAGGGAGGACTGCATGGGTGATTTCAATTTTCTTACGTATTTTTTTCTTTGTGTTTTCCAAGTTTTCTAAAGTGAGAACGTGGTGAGAAACAGTGTTGTTTTTTGTTTTTTTTTTTTAAACCATGCAAATAAAGACTGAACCAACTAAGCTGTTGGCATTGCCGCAAGGAAACTGAGACCTCCCTGCATCTGCTGCGGCTGGGTCTTCGACTGCAGCTCTGGGAGGCATTGGCAGGGGAGGGCCGGCTGGGGAGGGATGAAGAGTGAGGACGGGGGATGTCGGGCCTGAGCTCCTGCCCAGCATGTGCTGGGGGTTCCTGAGTGGATTCAGGCCTCTTGGGGGAGACTGCCCTGCAGGGGTGGAGGGTGGGTTTGGGCCCAAGGCTCAGGGAGGGGCACATGGATGGGACTCACCTTCTCCCATACCCCCAGGACTGGATCATCGCCCCGCAAGGCTACTCAGCCTATTACTGTGAGGGGGAGTGCTCCTTTCCGCTGGGCTCCTGCATGAACGCCACCAACCACGCCATCCTGCAGTCCCTGGTCAGTACGGTGCCTGTCCTACCCAGTTTCCTGGGGTGGGGGACCCTGCGGAGAGGGGTCTGGTCCAGCCAGCTTGGAGGGCAGTGGGGGGACCTGCTCCGTGTCTCAGGGAGCTTCCTCTGCACGGAGTCAGTAACGCCACCAAATTTCCACAGCTCTGCAGGACCTGATCCTCATACAGCCACGCTAGCCCACATAGACTCACACCTGAATACAGACACACCCCACACTGACAATAAACAGCCATGCACACGCGCCTGTTCTACGCACCGCACATGCTCCTGTGGGACACTTATGCACCTGTGTGCGGTGCCCAGACTGACAGAGGCACAGCACACGAAATGGACGTGCACGCCGTGTGGGGACTGTGATCTTAACACGCGGGCACCTGAGTACGCTGGCAAGTCTGCCCACCCAGGATATGTCACACAGCATGAGGGACGTGCGTGTGCACTCACCCACCTGTGCCACACCGCAGGCAGGGAGCGTCTAGATGGTGTGGCTCTCTACCCTTTGGCTCTCTACCCTTTGGCTTTTCCCATTTCTCTCTTGGCCATTTGTGTTTTCTCCAGATCCCCTGGCTTTTGTTGCCTCAGTGTCTGGGGCAAACTTAAATGATGAAAGCGGCTTCTGATGGGATCACTGGTGCTGCTCACTGCTGAGTGCTCTGTGTGTTTGCAGATTCTGGCACCCAGGCTTCCTTCTAGAAATTTTTACCTAGAATCCCAGTCCTGGTATTCCACAGCCTTATGGTTTTCTCATAGGAGGTTCAAAGGCGATGCCTTCAGGCACGGTGGCTCACACCTGTAATCCCAGGAGTTTGAGACCAGCCTGGGCAACATGGTGAAACCCTATCTCTAAAATAAAAATTAAAAAAACAATCACACATCCACACAGAAAGGCAATGCCTTGGCATGAGAGGAAAGGGATTATCAAAAGCTGCTTTGAGCCTATGATAAGACTTACTTTCTGGGCGGTCAAATGGCGTTCGCTGGACACCTGGAGCGCCCTCCTTCCAGCCACCCTTTATGCTGTGTGGTTCTCAAGGCTGCATGTATGGGGAGGTGACTGCAACTCCCGGACTCTGTCCCCTCTGCCCCTGCCCCTCAAGGGCTCAACTAAAGTGAGCATTCACAACCTGCTGGGCAGCAATCAGGCACTATGCTCTAAGGGAGGCTGTCGGTGGGCACGGAAGCAAACCACCCACAGAGCTGATGCCTCCTGTGAGGAAGAACACGGCAGGCCGCCTATCAGTGGAGGGAGATTGGGCCCAGCCTCTCCACACAAGGAAGGGCAGCTGGAGGAGGAACGTTCCAGCAGAAAGAGCAAGTGCAAGGCCCTAAGACAGGAGCACGCTGGTCCTAAGATCAGGGCCAGCAGCGGGGAGGGCTTAGGTGCAGTGACTGGGAGGAAGGGTGGAGGGAGGTGATGCCGGGGTGGGCAGGGCTGGCTCCCGGTCCGGGGGTTCCTGGGAAGGAGGGTGGATTTGTTTCTAAGCAACCTGAGAAGCTGTCAGAGGTCTTTAGCAAAGCAGTGTCATGGTCCATGTCACCCTCCAGAATGACCTCTCTGGCTTGGGGAGGCTGAAGGTGGGAGGAGTGGAAGGCAGAGGAGCAGGGGAGGAGGGCTGCTGTGGTCACCTGGCAGGTGATGGCAGCTGGACTGGGCAGGTGGTCTGAGACAGCACAGAGGTAGAGGTTGAGCCAGGGGCTGCTCCCAGGGAAGGGAGAAGGGGAGAGGAGGCATCCAGGAGGCCTCCCAGGCAGGGCTGTGATGTCAGGGAGAGAGGAACTTGGTGTTCTGCCGAGGCCCTGTTAGACCCTAAATGCAGAAGTGGGGAGGGGAGCAGGATCTGCAAGTCTGGAGAGCAGCACAGGAGAGGGACCAAGACCTGGGCTCCAAGAGCCTGGGGAGGGAGGCGGGGTATGGGAGGTGGAGCCTCTGGGTCCAAAGGGCCAAAAGAAGGAAGTGGTCCTTCCAGGCTCCCCATCGGGGACCTCACTAAGGCACAAACCTGGCCATGCGGTTCTCCTTCCCATCATCCCCAGGAGGAAGTCTGAGCCCTTGGCCTGGGAGCACCCTGCCCACCTGCCCCACAGGTGTCCTGCCCTGTGTCCTTCCCTGGGCACTGCTGGTCACCACGGCTCCTGCTCCCAGAGCCCAGAGGGCTGCTCTTATTCCTGTGAATAGTTATTATTATTGTGCTGCTCCCATGTGGCCTGGAGATGGCCAGGGTGGGGAGCAGGTGGAGCTGGGGTGGGGCTGGGTGGGTCCTCGGAGGCGGCCACTGGGCTCATGCCCCTGCCTGTGCCCTCTCCCTGGCCAGGTGCACCTGATGAAGCCAGACGCAGTCCCCAAGGCGTGCTGTGCGCCCACCAAGCTGAGCGCCACCTCCGTGCTCTACTATGACAGCAGCAACAATGTCATCTTGCGCAAGAAGCGCAACATGGTGGTCAAGGCCTGCGGCTGCCACTGAGCCCAGCCCGCCCACCCTGCTGCAGCTGCCCTTCTCATCAGATCTGGCCCCTTGGAAGCAGGAAACCCTTCAATGCTGTCACAGCTCAAGCAGGAGTGTCAGGGGACCTCACTTTCCGTGCCTACTTTCTGTCAGGCTTCTGGTCCTTTCGAGGTCCCTCTGTGCCTCTCCCCTGGGGTTTGTGGCTGTCACCCTGCCTGACACTTTGGTGGCCTAAGGGTACACAGCAGTCTTGGAGCCTGTGCTGACTTCACTGTCTGGAGTCAGCACAGAAGTCCTATCTTAGGACCTGTTAGACTGTGGCCAGCCCTGGATGGTCTGAGGTTGGCTGACGCGAGCTTTGCACCATCATCTACACAGGGTTTTGGGGTGGGCAGAAGGGCTCTGCCCCTTCCCAGGAACAACACTTGGGCATTTCTGGGCATAATTGGGCATGCACATGTTCTCAGTACAGTGTGTTCTTGGATTTTTCTAATTTGGTCCAGGCCACAGTTAGCATATTAGAAAAAGAATAAGCTAGAGGTGCTCATGAAGCCACCACCGTGGATTTTTTTTTTTTTTTTTTAAGATGGAGTCTCACTCTGTCCCCCAGGCTGGAGTGCAGTGGCATGATCCTGGCTCACTGCAACCTCCACATCCTGAGTTCAAGCAACTCTCCTGCCTCAGCCTCCCGAGTAGCTGGGACTACAGGCACTCGCCACCAAGCGCAGCTCATTTTTGTATTTTAGTAGAGACAGGGTTTCCCCCTAGGCTGGTCTTGAGCTCCTAACCTCATGATCTGCCCGCCTCGGCCTCTCAAAGTGCTAAGATTACAGGTGTGAACCACTGCACCCGACACTGGGAATATTTTATGTCATGTGTCTTCCCTTGCCCTGGGCCTCCCCTTCTCCTGCCTGGGAAAGAGGTATGACTCCCAGAGGAGCAAAGAATCTCGGGGGCTTCCAATTCCCTCAGCCATCTCCACCATGCTCTGAATAGCTCTGAATAGCTCAGCACTGAGGCAGAGAGGCAAGGCCAGCAGCTGCGATGTGTGGTCCAGGCTGGCACAGAGCAGATGTCCCCGCAGCCTATCCGCCTTGCCCATGGCTGATGTCAGTAATCAACCTACGTACCTTTCCCACTGAACCTGGAGAGGGCCTCTGGGCCTCAGCACAGAACTGTAGACAGCCACCACCAGGCACTGTCAACAAGACCTCAGTCCCCTACTGCTCCACTGTGGAGCAGTCCATTCCAGCCAGAGCAGGGTGACTGGCAGTCTCCGGACAGGCATGGGGCAAGGGCGGGGACTGCCAGTGTTTGCTTGTGTCTAGGAGTTAAGAACAGGCTGGTCACCAAAATTGGCGTCACCCTGGGTGCCCAGCAGCACTGTACTGTGTCTTGGGACTATGAGTCAAAGAAAAGGTCCCTGTCCCAGGGAGTGACAGGCAGTAATTAGGCTGAGTTGGGTGGGGAGGTTTGTTTCAGCCTCCGCTGTTCCCGGAAACCACTGTTCTCCTTGGAGCTGCCACTGGGAGTTGGAGTGTTTATTTGATTTCTGACTTGCTAAGCCTGTAATTTACCTGCTGGAACAGACAGAGTCCAGCTGCCCAAACCATGTCATTAAAAGCAGATCTTGGGCCTGTCCCATCCACAGGCACAGCCCGGCAGGGTGGTTCCACCTCCCATGTGCCCAAGGATGTGCCTCTTTGGAGTTCGCATGCTGCACCCCCAGAGATGGGGCTAGGGAGAGCTGGTCTGGCAGCAGGGGTAGAGGCTGGGGCCATGCTGCGGGACAGCAGCCCCTCCACTCAGAGCAGGGAGAGCCTCTGTGTGCAAGCGCAGAGGATGAGACCCTTCCATGTATGCAAAGGGTGGGCCCAGGCTGCCTGGAAACAGTGAGTTCCCTACTAGTCTAGGGCTTCAAGCTCAGCTAGCAGGGACTGGAAGAGGCACTGGCCTGAATGTCAAGAGACAGATATTCTGGTTCCAACTCAGCCACTGACTTGATGTCGTCTAAGACAAGTCCTCTTTCTTATTCACGCTTCAGTTTCTCATCTGCGACATGAGGACATGGGACTCTTTCATTCCAAAGGCTCTTCCAGCCAGAGAGCCCATCTGCCCCTGTGACCTTCTCCCAGAGCCTGAGACATGGCCTGATGGCCCGGTTGCCACAGGACTTGGGGCCTATCTGCCATTGCAAGACCTGATTTAACAGTGCTCTTCTTCCAATACTGGGCAGTAGAGTTTTGGAAACTGACAAATGTTTGGTCTCTTTAGTGCCCAGTATGTAAACTGGCATAGTTTGGGGATGCTAAGAGTTTGTGAAATGAGCCGGGCGCGGTGGCTCAAGCCTGTAATCCCAGCACTTTGGGAGGCCGAGGCGGGTGGATCACGAGGTCAAGAGATCGAGACCATCCTGGTCAACATGGTGAAACCCCGTCT